TTTGGAAAACGTGTAAATGGATCTCGTACCTTTACATTTTTTCATTTTTTTTTTTTTTTTTTAAATGAAAAGTTAAACTTCCCTACCGAGTTATTTTTTCTGTTGTTTAGTAAGATTTTATTGACCAAATTGATAATATACGTAAATTGTTTTGTACATTTTACACATTATAATGAAATAACTTAAATTAAAGCTCATAATTAGTAGAAGAAATCTTTGCTTTTACTATTAAACAATTACACAACTAAAATATTTAAAATTCTAACTTATGGTTACGACAATAAAAGAAACAAAACCTTGTGTCATTGATTTGATCTTTAATAATTTTATTTAATTGAGTATAAATATTCTAAGTACTTGAAAATAGAAGATCTATTTACAAATTTCTCTTCAACAATATTACCAACACCCCTAAATCCCCCAGCCACCAATTGTTGCCTTGTTCGGTTTGTTTCTCCTTTTCTCATTCTTTAATCTTTTATCGAAAAGTATATATCCCTCAAAATATATTTCACGGGATAATATATGACATCTCACGAACATATCCCTTTTTAATCACACAGTTCATCGTCGAATATAAGATGCCACAAACTTATAACCTCATAGACACAAGAATACAAACGTTCACCTAAATTGGACAATTTATATAGAACAGAGATACTTGTCCGCGGTTTTCCGTTATTAAAAAAAAAAGAAAAGAAAAAAAAAGGGATGAAGTTCACGTGAACTCATTAACGGTTTGAGTGCTCTATCAATTTTCCTGAACAATAATTCTAGAAACCCTAGCCCTACCCCAAATCCGTCTAGCATTATTTCAACGTTTCAATAATCTTCTAGTTCTTTGTCTACGAATAATTTCAGCTCAGAACACCATGGAATCCAGTGAAAATTCTGCGAAACCCGCAATAACAACAACAACAGCAAGGCAACTTTTCCATTTCTCTCAAGTGAATTATGAGAACCCTTTGTTATGTTGCTGGGAAAATCATTCTTATTACTTAGAAATTCGTTTTTCTTACGAACTTAAAACAGTTAGAACTAAGAATATAACGATTTTTAAGTTCGAACTAAGAATATAAAGATACCCCGTGTTAGTGATTCGTTTTATTTGTGGGCAATGCATTTGTTCTTCGTTAATGTTTTTGGATTACTTGGCTGGTTTTATTTGTCGTTGTTACTGTTTTGCGAGGTGTTCATTATAATTAATACAATCAGATTGTTGATTTTCATTTGCTCGTGTTTGCAATACTTGGTATTCTTTTAACTTGCCATTATAGAAGTAGCTGAAGATCAAATTAGTTTTTGACTTCGACAAAATCGAACTGATTCTAGCTGTCCAAAGTGGATACAATGGACACGTGGACTAGATCAAACTAACTCCAATGATGCAATGGACACGTGGACTAGATCAAACTAACTCCAATGATGCAATGGACACGTGGACTAGATCAAACTAACTCCAATGATGCAATGGACACGTGGACTAGATCAAACTAACTCCAATGATGCAATGGACACGTGGACTAGATCAAACTAACTCCAATTTTTCTAACTGACTAACTGAAGTTCCCGCTCGCATATTCCAGCTGCATCTTTTGCACGTGTTGTCTGTTAGGTTGCTAAGATACAACAACCTGAAAAGGATCTCGTGTAGGAAGGTTTAGAAGGTGAGAAATATAAGAGGTTTAACAGTGGACAGATTGAGAGATTCCATACGTTTTTATCTCCTTTTGCTTATTTTGAGAGCCGGGTGTAGTCAAACTTGTAGAGATTTTTGGAAGGCTTCTTAGAAAATGTTTTCCTTGAGTTTAAAATGCAACAATCCCTTTGATGCCTTATCATATAGGTGATACTCTAATTATATCATAAGGAATCAGAAACTTTGTCTATCCATCTCTCTCATAGACAAAATGTACTGCACTAGGTTCTTGTGAACTCTCTGTTTATGATCAATTTAAGCTTTGTGACATTATGCTGACCGGCTATCTTCATTCCACAGTAATTCGTCACTTACTGTTTACTTTATAATATATTGGTTGGCATAAGTTGACACTGTGCATTACAAAATCAACCCATACTGACGGCTTAACTTTATCATATTCTAATATTTGAATAATCCCCCTGAATTACTGGAAGTTGTGTGTAATTTGTGATTGATTCCAGGCATAAGTGTGCAGCATGTTTCAAGCAGTATAAGAAAAAGGAGCATCTTGTTGCACATATGAAAATCTCGTATCACTCAGTTCACCAGCCTCAATGTGGTGTGTGTCAAAAGCATTGCAAATCCTTTGCATCACTAAGGGAGCACTCGACTGGTGATATACGATACTACAGTTTGGAAAATTTATATGTCAAAGGTTGACTCAGGTGCTCATACGTATAATCATTTTTTCAAACCTTTAGGTTCACTGGCTAAAGGGAATTGTTCAAAGATATCCTCTGAAAGAGGTTGCAGCCTCTGTATGAGAATTTTCGACAGTCCAGTTTCTCTCTGTGAACACCTGGAAATCTGTTGCCTACCTGCTCCTTTCCCCATTGTGAGTTGACCTGGGAAACTTTCCCTCCTTTTACCTTAAACACAAATTGATAGATTCATAAGCTTTTTTTTTTTTCAGGAAATATTATGGTTGTTGGAAAATGGACTTTGAATGTTACAAGCATGTGAACGTCAAAAATTTTGTTTTATTATACAGGATTTTGTGAAGATGCATTGGACTGAATCTCAAATTGATACTAATGACAGTGGGAGGATTCCTGAAGCAATCGCTATGGATTGCGAAATGGTTGGTGGAGGAAGTGATGGGTCACTGGATATATGTGCTAGGGTGTGCCTTGTTGATGAAGAGGAAAAACCGATTTTCCATACTTATGTAGTACCGCTAATTCCTGTTACCAATTTTAGGTATCTGGGTTATGCATATGATCTATTTATTCTTTAAGTTTTTAATTAGGTTAATAGGCATGCTCATCAGTTATAATTCTATGTATATTATTGTTTTAGGAACGAAGTTACTGGTATTACTGAGGAGAATATGAGAGATGCTATGCCACTCAAGGAAGTGCAAGATAAAATTTTGCAGATTCTCTACAATGGAGAGTCGATTGGAAGATTACGGTTACATGGTGGCAAAGCTAGAGTTCTTGTGGGTCATTCCCTTGGGCACGATTTAAATTGCTTGAGAATGAATTATCCTGATCATCTCCTGAGGTGAAGTCATTTTGGGGCAATTAAGGTTACAAATCCATTTTCATGAGATTACATTGCATCCAACAACCTGTTCGAAGAAATTGATTTATTGTCTTCAATGAGAATGGACTTCTTGTGTGGAGGCTCGTGGACAATACACAGAGCTCATTATATTTTGGTTTATGGTGATTTATGTTCTTTAATTCCAAATCCTACTCCCTTTCCTTTGTCCCATCTCCAAAAAAAGGGAGGAAATGAGCACCAGAAAATGGGGAGGATCGATCTTAAAAGGCTAACTTATTGGTTTATAAATTTTAATGATTTCATATTTTCTTGAATTAACTTGACTGAGTTCTCGCCAGTGGATTGTAATATGAACTTCCATTTCTACCTAGTGTATCTACGAGCTGGTCATTGTATACTGATTGTCCTTGAATTTTAGCTTCTATAATCAAGAGTAATGAAATAAGAAAGATGTAGATGAAATTGTTTTGCTGCGTACTGCGTTGCGCTTAATTTTTCACCCTCTTTATGTGCAGGGATACAGCAAAATACCCTCCCTTAATGAAGACAAACCTCGTCAGCCACTCGCTCAAGTACCTCACCAAGACCTATCTCGGGTAAGTTGCCATCCAGTGATTATTCTTGGGTTCCTTTTTTGCTAATTTAAGATACAATTTACCAAAGGAATAGAAGAGCTTTGGAGCTAAATGGAAGTACCAGAGACCAAGTATATAAAAACAACCTGAACGACTCTTAGGGGTGGGCGTGGACATTTACAAGGGATTTTTGGCATTCCCTCTGAATAGTCCCCGGTTTTCGTGGGCTTCCTATTAGTTGCTATTCATAAGTATCTGTCATTCCCTCTGAATAGTCCTCGATTTTTCTTTGGCTTCCTTTCAGTTACTAATCCATAATCTCCAATTTTTTTGTCATGAACTCTAGACCAAGTGAAAAATATATTGAAGTTAATAATGTTCTCTGTGTAACTGCAAGAATGGCAGCTTCAGACAAGCAATATTTTTACAGTGAACTTTTCTGAAAATTGACAGTCTGTTTCTCATGATCATTGATCTGAATTGAGATTTCAGTAAAATGGCCCAACAGTTTTGTGGTCAAATAGGAAAAATGGTTTTCATCTTTAAGTGCAATCTCCATATACTGCTAAAATAGTTTAGTAGGGTAACTATTCTAGTCGATTTGCAATTCCTTTAAATGTTTTGATCATGAATATTGTAAGTTTGGTTGATGACATGGGCTTTGGTTTAATAGGTACGATATCCAGTCGGGGTTGCATGATCCTTACGAAGATTGTGTATCAGCAATGAGGTTGTACAAGAAAATGCGGTCACAATGTCACCCAAGAAAAGATATGGGGATGTTATTGGCTGCTCATAATGCATCTACCAACACTTTTGATTCTTGGAAGCCCAAAGAACTTGAGAATATGACACCAGATGAACTTTTCAATATCTCCAAATCAAATTACAAGTGTTGGTGTTTGGATTCAGGGCCTCTTTCGTGATTTGGAAATTCTTTAGGTAGTGTGTATATATAGTTAACAACCACCCAGATTTTGTTGGAAATGAAGAGAAATAAGTTAATAAATCCATATTAGGTTTGATGGACAGTTTTAAGAAAACAGTAGTTTAAAATCTTGTCCATCCTTTATAAGAAATTGTTTTCTTGCCCACGGTGGGCACGATAAGATTGCTTACCTGTTGATGTGGCAGGCGTGAGACTTGAAATAAGGGTTTTCTTTGAGGTGGACAAAATAAAACTTTCCATTGTAAACAAGAGAATAGGAGCGCAAGTATATACACTCCGGTTAAATGGGTCTACTTGAATTTGTGACTAAGTCTCCATTAATGAATTAAAAGTAATAAACTAATAACATTATCTTACACTAAATGTGACTAATCTCCATCAATGCAAAAAATATACAGACACAATGGTGCATCAAATTTACAACAGGAAAATGACTCCAAATCAATACGTGGAATCACTCACCGTACAAGAAAAAAATCTGTAAATTCCTAAGCCAGCCAATTCCGATGACATATAGATACATTACGGTCTACTGACCGTCCAAATCATCACCACTCTCATCATCAGCAGCTTCATCTTCATCGGAAGATAGTGGCACCAGCAAACATGTCCCGTGCAAGTGCCCATTCAGGCACACGAAATACTCTAATCCCTCATCGTGCGAGCCGAGTCTCCTAGCCGCACTCTTCTTGGGAACAAGCCGAGCTGCTGTCATACTCCAGACCCGAGTCCCACAATAAGGACATCGGATTTTCTCCTCAAACTCCACCCGGCGGTTTATCAAACACTCCCGGGTCCTCGACTTCTTAAATTCCCGAAATACCCCTCTATAAATACCTAAATCGTACTCTTTGCCCCTTGCTGGATGCTCACACGGGTCGCTCAAATATAGCACATCTCCTCTGCATTTCTTCGTCAAAAAGCTCTGACCCGAAGTCTTCGAAAACCGGGACTCCTTCATGAAATGACCGTGCAAGGGTTGACTCAGTCTAATACACCGAGTCGACTCACATCCGCAACAGAAAAATAGTAATTTCGCCATCGACTGCCATCCGCCGCAAATTCGGCTGTTAGGCACACCATCCATCAATGTAGCTATCATTCGAGGTGCGCGATACACGCATAGCTCCCTCCAGAGAAGTCGTTTCGAGACGGCGCGAAGTTTATGGTTAACAGACGCAGTCGCGCAAAGATCTCGAATATCCCATTTTAAAGACTCGAAGACAAGGACGAGAATACGCTCATTGAAAATCCCGGACTGGGAAGACTCAGTAGCCTGGTGAACCCTCCGTCTCTGACTCGGAGACTCGCTCATTCTTACTACGACGATGGGAGGAATTATCCTCTGCAAACGCATATATATATGCATGTAACGAACAGAGGGACACGTGGCAAAGAATTAAATAATAACTACCTAGAAATCATTAGTCCTCAGCATGTGAGACACGCGTCAAAGATTTATTCAATAAGACTATCGTTGCCACTGAAGATTGGTTGAGCGAAGAATCGAAGAGAAACGTAACCGTGCGGACTGTAGTGGAGATGATGCCACGTGGTTGATAGGAAAAAATCTCTATCATGCTAAAAATATCGGGGAGGAATACGTGGCTAATTTTGGGGAAATGAATGACTCGCAACACTAAAATATCTGGGATGTACGATTCTTTGTTGCTCCACGTATAGATTCTGGACTTTGAATTGACTGTGATTTGACATCACATCGAACGGTCGGTTTATGTTGATACAGAATGAATAAAGCAAATAATATCTGAAAGAACGATAAATAAATACTAAAAAAATAAAAATTTTGTTAGTTAGGCCTATCCCGTTGCAACGTGTTTGGTATAGATAGGCACAATCCCCTTCCCCAGTGTCAAGGTACGATTCTCTTGTCACATCAACAATGATTAATTTTTTTCTTGTTCACTGAAGACAAGAGATCTATTTTATTGATGTAAATTTTAACTCAAGTCGAAATCATTAATAATTATGTACATAATTCTATTTTTTAATAATGTTAGGATTAGATAGTAATGTTTCGACACTTTCGATAGAACTTTTGATTCTTATGGGAAAGTTTCATAAGAAGCTTTGTTACACCAATTTCCTTTATAAATTCATTTAATCGTATAAAATATTTTCAGAAAATTATTCAATTAATTCAAATGCAATTTTTTAATTTTATAAGTAACTTTTGACTTTTCAAAAATTATACAAAAACGAACTCTTCAAACTATCTCAAGATTTGACATATATATAAACAAGCCATCAAGGGCTTGCTATTTGTAAAAAATAAGAAACATTGAATTCGAAGATTGAATAGTTGACATGTGCGTTCATATAAGATAAGTTCCTCTTAAGCTCGAAAGCAGTGTTTAATATATCGATAGTGGTAGTTTTAGAGGATTTATCCGGTAAACTTGATTTTACTAACAATCTAATTTATTTTAAGCATCTTTTTTTAAAGGAAAATTCTACTTGTACATAATTATTGCACATAATGGTGTCCATAATGTGATGTGGCAATCATTCGATTGTTGATATGCAAATGTGAGATTTGAATTAAATGTTGGATCAAGTACCACGTGTAATTATGGACACCATTATGTAAACAATTATATAAATGTAGCACTTCCATTTTTTAAATAGATGTTATAGTCGAGCTTTTGTATTACTGGAACTATTGAAGAGAGTGTGGGGCTCTCTGCCTCGGGCAAAAGCCGAACGAGTTAGAGTTACTATTTTCTCACATTTGGAGCATGTTTGAGAGTGATTTTGAGAATTGATTTTTTGATCGTTAAAAGAAAAGTAGGGTCCACATGTGAGTGAAGAAGTCAAATATGACGACTGAAATAGTGAAATAACGGTCAAAAAATCAATTTTTTTGGGAAAAAAATCACTCTCAAAGATGACCTTGAATAATTAAATTAACTTCATTGTTTGACATACTATAATTTGCTAATTTTGATTTATAAAAGCATTTATA